GGTGGTGGATGCTCCTTCGCTGGATGTTTCCAAGTGGAGGCTGGACGGCCATCTTTCGGGTATGTTGTACCTCTAAGCTGTGGAGTCTTGTGAGCAAAAATTCTACCACAACTGCCATTAAAGTTGTGAGAGAGCAATTTGGCTACTGCCTAAATTAGTTTGCTCTGGAGCCCTCCTTCCTGAGCTGAGACAAAAATGTGTGAGCTGGAGGCTAAAAAAACTGTGAGCTAGCTCACACTAACTCAGCTTAGAGGGAACATCGGTTAGCTGTCTTTCGGCTCTGCTACTGCAGAGTGCAGGGGGGTGGGACTTGATGACCTGTGAGGCCCCTTCCCACTCTAACATTCTATGCTTCTACGTGGCTGAAGGCCCGGAGCCAGCTGAGCCCCACCCCACTGCACTGCCCCTCCCGCTGGCCGGGGCGGCAAAGGGACTCCACTGGGAGGAGCAAGCGGACGACGGGGTGCATACCAGGGCAGCTCCCTCTTGAGGGAGGGGATATAAGGTTGTGCGCATCAGGGCCTCTCCCCCATGCCACAGACAGCCTCCCCTGTTGGGTGGAGGGGGGGCACCCAGGGAATAATCCTAGGAAACACAAGTGTGAGTCTCCAGAGCTGCCACTTCTCCCCGAGCCTCAAGAGCCAAGTGTCAGCAAGCTGCCAAATGTTTGTTTTCCTTCTGTGAGTGTGTGTTCGCTTGCATCTGGTTGTGTATGCTTGTAGATGCGCATGGCTTTGTAGCTCGCCGTAACAATTATTTCTCCCAAGGCCACAGGTGGACGCCGGCTTGTTAGTGCAGAGGAAGCTCTCATGAATCACCGTGAGAAGAAGATAACATGAGAGACTTGGAGCCGTTAGTTCTCAGGCCCAAAGGCGCGAGCAGGGAAAGTCTGCAAGCGTGGGGGAAGCCCCGCAATTGGGCAGTCGTGGTTTGAATGTTTATTATATGCTTAGCCATTGCCTGTATGCCCCATTCTGAACAGTGACCATGTTATGGACCTTCCAGCTCTAATAAAGTTACCTTTCTTTAAAGCGTGCTTATTATGATGCCAAGAGGAGTCTGACATTCTGTTCAGAATCCTATCGTCCTCCATCTCTGCAAACCTATCGATATCGATATGAGTGCCGGAGAGGAGAACCTTCATCCCCCAGATGGGAAAGAACCGGCAGGGCCAGATATGGGAAGTGTCCCAGGGACCACAGCCGAGATACCGGTGACCATGACGGAGGTGCCGGTGACAGTTCCAGGGACGGACCCGAGAGGGGGAACAATCCCTAAGAGATGCACGGCATCGGTGTTCCTGACCCCTCGAGGCCCGAGGTACCGGCAGGATGGATGCTCGACCCAGAGTTGGAGCCACTTTGATGCGGACACCACACAAGAGTCGTATTCGCACTTGGGGTTTTCCCTCAGGGACAGTTTGTATGATAAAGGAGTGGGAGCTCAAGGATTACCTTCCTTTGGGAGCTCACTTTGAACCCGTACCACCACCTTGGGTGACGGATCGATCGAAAGCCCAGAGTGGCCAAATCTCCCCGGAGGAGGGGATGATGGATCGGATTGAATCAACTGATTGAACGGTGTGGCAGTTGCAGATGACTTTGGAAGACATGCTACGGGCCATCCCGGAGTTGGTAACGCAAACTATCGAAGAAGCGCTCCAACAGAGACAACCAGAGGATGGGGTGCCGGGGGACCAGCAGCAACCAGCCCCAGTGGTACCAGACCAACAAGGGCTGCCAGCCCAACCGGTTCCGGGCCAGCAGCCACAGATCCCGTCCCCAGCACCCCGACCACCTGATGCTCCGGCTCCGGTGCTCCGCCCCCCTAGTCCACGAGGCCAGGCGCTCCCCAGACCAAAGGACCTGATCGAGGCGACGTTCGATGGGAACCCTGAGGAACTATCCTACTTCGTGGTTCGCATGCAAAAGTTCCTAGAGCGCTCGGGACACCTGTTTCCAGATGACAGCAGCCGAATTGATGTG